ACACCCAACATGCCTGATATGGGAGACCAAAAAAAAGAGACCACTTTTTTTTTCCCTGTTTTTTGTTTTGTTTTTTTAATGCGAGAAGGTGATGTGTTGCATAGAAAGAGTTTATGAGTCCTTTCCATCAGATATGACTTGCCTTTAGAAAGGGCCTTTGGCCCCTTCTGAATGAATGCTGAGCCTGTGGCTCTTGTCCTTTTGTATGTACCTGTTAGGAAAATGAAGGGGTGAATGTGAGTTTATCTTAAAGCCAGTAATTGGACAAAGGTTTTTTTGTGTGTAAATTCTACACAATGACTCTGAGGTGCTCAATCATTTTCTAACACCTCCTCTTTGCTCTCTGTACAGAACTGAAGAGAAAACCCTGTTTATATGCTTTTCTTTGTAATTCCTAAGACCAATCTTGTACATATTCTTGCTTGTAAATGGCTTTTTCATTAAGCTACTGTAAGATAGTGTGATATACTGTGAGAGAGGAAACAAAGAGGAGACGATCTCTGATAGCTGAATGTTACTGCGTGACCTCCAGAGACGAGATGATGGTGGTTGCCTCTTTGAAATTATTCTCAGTGTTTGTTTTCACATGTTAGGGGACCCAAGTGGAAGGGGTTTGCCGGAGGAGAATCTGCATGAACCAGAGTGCCATTTGAAAGTCAGTTAAGTGTACTTTTCTTCGACGGATAACTCGCCTCACGTTTTCGGAATTGTGCTACTGTGCTCCGACCCCATCCAGCTGGTGTTCCCAGTGAAGCACAAAAACACAAATACTGAGGTCTGCAGCCCTCCTGTGATGCAGAAAAATAGCATTTAGCTAATAAGTCGATACTGTCGATACCCCTCTACACTGTGTACTGGGGGACCTGGACCTGATGTTGGTTATGTGATCCACATTTTTTTTTTATGTGCATTAGAAGTGCTGAATCACATGACCCATTTGTAACTACACACACTCACTAATTGTAACATGCTTTCAATGATTGTACTTTTTTAAGGCTCTTGTCTTTTTCTTTTTAAAGCACAGTTTTTTGATTATCTTCAGGGTTTTTGATTACTGTAAAATCCTGACTGTTACAGGAAGTCATAGTGATGTTTGCTCATCCATCCACTCAGCTCACTGAAGACGAGCCATTCATGTCCAAATCCAATTCTCTCTACGATGATTAAAACGAACTGTAAACCTACCACCACAGAGGTGGAAATTGCTTTAAGGACTGTATAAAGAAGGTGTTCTTTCTTCACACCTTTTGTAGACTAAATGTTTCATATCTGATTCAGACATTTGATTCAGGGCAAATTCTTCTAGCGGAGAAAACGTTTCGTCCCCCGTTTTAATTCCAGAGTGAACTGTGATTATTCATGGACAAGGATGGGGACTGTAATCACCTACAGCAGGAGATGGCTTGTCATCTTTATACCATTAATACTGAAAACAGCATTATAGAGTATTGTCAGAGGTTCTGCGCTTTTCCCCCTTTTCTGTCAATCCAAGAAAATGTGATTACAGTGTAGGTCTTCTCTCACGCTTTGTTAAATCGTGTTTCTCCTCCTTCCACTCCAGGCGTCCGGATGGTTTCGTTGAAAAGTCAGACCCTTCTCCTCGGCGTCTGATCTCTCCTCCTAGACATGTAGTTGCGTGTTCTTGTGCACAACTCCCATGTTAAATTGTAAATATGTTCATTTGCTTTATTTATGTTTTTGATGCCGTGATCAATCCTTTTGGGGTTGGTGTTATTACGAATGCGCTTCATTCGATGGAGTGCATTGGAATATGATGACTTCTTAAAAGTCTAAATTTAATAAACTGTTCTATACCGTTTGTAAAGTTTTGTGTCCTTCGTCTGGAGTCTCTGGGTCAGTGTGTTGGGGGGGGGTTGTTGTTGTTTTTGTTATTTAAAAAAAAATCACCTGTTCATCAGTCGGGATGACTGCTAAGAAATTCAGACACAAACATGAATATTTCTTGAGGCAGCAGGCCTATAAATCATTTTGCTGTCTCTTACTTGACATATTTTCTCACATGTATATGATGCACTGAAATAGAAGATTACAACGTGACAGAGCTCATCTAATAATGTGCTTTCATACATTTTACAAAGTGAGAGTGAGTAAGAGTGATGAGAGTATTATATCAAAGTAAGCGCCAGCAAGGCTGTAAATCAATAAAGATGAATTCAGTATAGTCTTAAAAGCTGAGACAGACAAAACTGTATGACATCTGAAATATTTCATGATGCTCCTTCACACTTTATTTGTTTTTTATAAAGTGCTTTACAAACCTGAACATTACAGTGAACAGCTGGAATTTCCCGTTTCAGTGCAGCTGACCAAAGAGACAATTACAGCTAAAGAGACGGTGAAAGTGGACAGTATATCCTCTGTTTCCTAGTGTAAAACTCATTGTTACAGACGGGCAGCACAAGAGTGATCCCCTCAGTTAATGATTCTCTCACTAGTTAGCTAAAATAAACAAATGTAAGTCTATGAGCCACAACCAACCAACCAACCATCTCGGTGACGTAACGTTCTGTATGGCATAAGGTGGCGCTACACATGTTCTCAAAATTTAAACATCACCAAGATGTGTGGTCTCCGCTCTTCAGTAAACTTGGGGGCTGCGGATGGCCTCCTGGATCCAGTTCAGTCTGCCTCTGACCCCTGGAGGGCGTTATTGTGGTTTCCCAACCTCATTATCGAGTACATTTGTGACACACACACACCACACAGAGATTGTCAAAGTCAAAATAAACTTTCTTGTCATCTCTGCTATATACAGTACAGTATATAGAGAGGCTCCAGTTACAGCAGTGCAAAAGAACAACAATAAATATAGGAAGAGTAAGAATAAATATACACTTTGAGACTGAGGTAAGGGGAGTAAATATACCTTGACCTTGAGTGGCTTTAAATATATGTGGATATATGTATCTGTGCGTTTTCATATTTTTGTGTTCCAAGTTATTCATCTTTGTTTTTTCTTAGAGGTCCAGTAGTTGGGGAAACATTGTGCATTTCGATTTGTACTCTATCCTTTTGTTATATTTTCCCCTATTTTCTCCTCCCATCTTTTTTCTCTCTCTCCTGCCTGCCCTTCTTTAGACAAAGTATACCACATAATGTAATAACTGAAATAACACAAATAGAAATGAATAAATAAAGAGATAAAAGAAATACATGAAAAAGAGGAGCATATAGAGATTTATACAGCTGATCTTGGAAAAACACAATGTGTTTGGCACAACAGTGCATTCATCATAAATCTTAATTGCAAAAGCTGCCAGACAAGACAGGATTTAAAAAAACAAACAAAATTTACCAGGTCATTCCATATAATACAGTGTTGATACAGGACGAACACCTTGAAGATAACCCTTATATCAAATTGTGTATAAAGGGAAGGGAAGGTCTCTTTTTGGCGTAACTTGATGTAATCAGCCACTTACAGATAGGGATAACGATGTGCTTTAACTTTGTAATCCTCAACGCTTGTAAAATCAAGTTAAAACTGGAGGTTATCTTCCAATAAAAACTTCAGCAAGGCTTTTTAGCTGTCACTGAGGAAGTACCGTGCCAAAAAAAAATCAGGTTAGTCTCAGAAAGAGAATTGTTGATGATCAGAAAGCAGGGGATGGATATACAAAGTTATCACAAGGTTTCCAAGTGTCAAGAACTGGAGAGAGAAGTATCACCAAGAAACTCAAAGAGAGCCACACTGTACAGAATGAGCATGGCAGAGGTAGAGAGAAGAACATTTCAAAGACTCTGGAAAGAATACTAGCCAGAGAAAAATGGCAAATAACCCCAGAACATCTGCCAAGACATGAGTGAATGATGGGAATTGTAGTCTCAAAGAACACAATCGCTAGAACTCTGCACAGTAATTGACTATGAGGTTATAGACAGAAGAACATGAAGGACAGCCGAGAGAAAGATTATGAGAGATGAAAAGTACAGCTGTTTGGACACAGAGAAAGAATGGAGAAGCTTAATAAGTGGAAGTATTATGGTGTGTCTACATCATAAAGCAGAGCTTGCAGGAGGCATTCTGCCCATCTGGTCTTTACATTTCTTTTGGACTTCTTTTTCTTTGGATTATAAATCCAAGTGAAACTTTTGCATTTTGTTTGAGACTATTTATCAGATATACAAAGGCTCACTATGGTTTAGGATTCTGCCTTCAGTGTCTTGTCTCTCTACCACAACATGTACGATGATTTGTGAGATTCTGCATCTCGGATTAGAATTCAAGGTTAATAGTCTTAGTTTCACAAGCTATAACTAAAAACGGTGTCCTGTTGTGTGCACAAAGCATCATGGAAAGTCTAGTTATAGTACTATAACAATCATAGTGGTATACGCTTTTCCTCATATTCAGTGACGCATGATTATAAAGTTTAAGCTAAATAGCCAAATAGGTTAACTTAACTTAAGCTTAGAATATGGCTATAAAATCATAACATTTAAGAAGCAATATTGTATAGGCTTATCAATTATCTGATTTAACCCTCTCAAGGCAGGCTTTGCCTATTTGCAACAGTTAAAAACTAACAACCTGATTACCCCACATACATACTTTATGAGTTTTTTTTACTCAGAAGTACCACTGCAGGACTTAGTTGTGCATTAGCAACACAAAGTTTAATTTGAGCCTGAGAGGGTTAAAATGAAATGAATAAATAAACCCACGATATGAATTTAATATCAACAGCTGCTGTTCTCAAGAGCATAAACATTTAAATCGTAAATAGTCTGATTTTATGTGAACTATGTCCTGTAGTGGGAGCGGAGGAAGGAGGTCATATTTCTTATATATCATTATTTTGTATTAAAAATATTAAAATAAACATCGAACTACGCTTAGAACACGAGCAGCAAACGGACGACGGTGATTATTTTAGAGAAAAAAATAATAAGAGAAAGCTGCTAAGGAGCTGTCTGAGAAAACGAAAGGACTTTTCCTGTCTTCCAACATAAAAGTTTAAAGCCCTGCGCGCTCTGCCTCCTTCCGTTGCGCATTTCCGTTGTCGTGACGTCACTTCTGGATGTAAATATGCGGCTTGGTGCGGCGCTGGGAAACACAACCACTGGAAAGATGTAAACCAACTAACCGGCAGAAACCAGGTTCAGCGAAGACACTAAACCTTCCCTCCAGGGAAACCGTACCTCTGGTCCAATAAACGGAACTACATCAACAGGTAGCTCGTCGGCTCGCTACCTCCGAAGTCAGCGGAGCGCCTGCCTCTAGCAGCCATCTTTTGTGAGAGAATGTACGGGGCGACGCGGCGGGCCTGCTCGGGCTCTGGTCGGGACCGGAGCTTGCTGATGCTGACCACCGCGCTCCTTCTCTCGGTTATCGGGCTGCTGTCCGGCTTGCCTGGCTTCACCGAGGCCAAGGAGTGCGATAAGCCGTGTATGAACGGCCAGTGTAACACCGCCACTGGCGAATGTGTATGTTTCCCCGGCTGGGTTGGGGACCAATGCCAGCACTGCGGAGGGCGATTCAGGTAATGTAAAACACACTGGCAGATTATAGCCTACTGTTAGCAGTGACATAAGCTGAATGTGGAGTCTACGTCTGCCTTGTTTTGCGCCAAATGTTTGCTAATTCAGACCTGACAGTCCTTGTCTGGAGATGGCGAGCAGCCCACACTCGAGGCGTTCAAGTACCGGTCTGCTACTACCTCTGCCCCAGCTACAAGCGAAGCGGTTCCCCCCAAAGGCCACAGTCCTCCTTGTTTAAATGCAGCATGTGTTTGCTGAATGATTCAAGTGTGTGGGTTGGACGGCTATGCCTGTGTGAATGTGGTATTTAACATTTGACCAACATTGAGCTTCAGAGCTTTTTAATCCGAATTAGTGTCACATCTTGCCACTCATTCACGCAGATCATCAGCCTGTTTTCGTACACACCGTTTCTTGACTAAGATCACCTATCAGAAAGGACAGAACCATGAGGAGTAGCCGGCCTGCATGTTTCCTCTGTAGTCTGACATTATTCTTTAGAAAATCTGACAGCACAGACAGACAGACTGCCCCTCAAAACCATTTTGACTTGTAGCCACAGTGCACTCTCTGCTAGCCTCTGTTTTTTTTTTCAATCTAACCAAGTAATTTATCTCTGACTAAACCAGACTGCTGTTCTGTTGGTAGTGTCCCACTTTTTCAGGCCAGTAGGTGAGACGCTTTGCATTCTTCAGCTTCACGGGACTCTTTGAAAAGCTGCCTGCATGATGTTTGGCCCACTGAAACGTTCAGATAACTGATATTGTGTGCTGATGCCAGGACAGCAGCAGCTCAGGGTCAAAGTATGGGATGGGGGGGGCACTGAAGCACTTTGTGCTTTTATAGCTGAGCTGCCCAGGTTAGTGAGAGGTGGGAGGAAGGTACCACTTGACAAACCCATTATTGCATCATCTCTCAATCGCCCCCCACACCCCCCTCGTATCTGCCCACATCCGTGTTGGCTTTCTTTAACTCTGATTTAAACCATGAGTGCCACTAGTTTGTGTGCGAGTGTGTGAATGCCAAAGCTGCACATTTTCGAAAGTTGTAAACTGGCAATTATTACCGCTGTGCCCGTCCTCTGTTCCCATTTTACTGTCACTTTGCATTACTGGAGTTTGTCCTCTGATCTGGAAATTATCCCGCAGTACTTGATGACAGTTTCACTCGGAATCAGTCACGACTACATTATTGATCACTTTCCATAGCATCGCGCCCTTCTGCTCATCCTTCAACTATGACATTTAGCAAGCACCGAATTAGAAAAACATCTTGTTCCCCAAATCATTTTTTTCCTTGACAGAGCTCAAATGTGACCTCTTGAAGTAATTTTACACTTCTGCTTTCTTTCTTTTCGCTGTTAAGCAAGGTGATCTTGTTCTGATGAGCTAGCGTGTCTGTGCAGCTAAGAACGTGTGAGTCGGGTCCACCCTGTAGGCAGCGGATTTTCTTCTCTTTTTTCGTAAAGGGAGTCCAGAGCATTTTATTTAATACTGTGTCATGCTGCCTCTGCTTGTGATCAGTCTTGCCAGGTCATAAAGCAGAGCCAGCGGGAGGCCTGCTGTGTTATGCGTGCTCACAAGTCGGTCATGATGAAGGGAAGGGAAGCTGGAACAGTTTCCACATTAGTGCAGCCGATTGGTGAGCACATCTGAGCAGGTGAAATGAAAGCTGAATGGCTGCTGAGCGTCTAATGTTTCAGAACACTGGGCTTAAGTGGTCTCTGGGTGAAATGGCTCATCTTGGCTGTGAATAAAAACTGCGATTCTGTTGCACTCGAGTATCAGCCTCGACAGTCTATCAGTGTGGGAAATCATCGCTGACCACCAGCTGCGTTCAGGGTACCCGTCTCTAAGAACGCTGGGTTTGAATGGAGTTAAACTCTGTTTATTAATATTTATGATTTTTCTCTCATTAGTTAGTAATGTGTAATAGAGAAGAGGCTAAAGTCAATGGAATTTGCTTATTTTGTCCTAAACAACTGACAAACCCAGTGGTTGGCTTTTATGTAGATCTTTATTTGTACGCCACGCTCTTTTATTGTAGGGTGGTGGTTGACTGGCATGCATTAAAAGTATAAGACATACTCTTTCAGTCGCCCTTGATCAAAATACCAAAGCTTTAGGTTCTTTTTCAGGACTGCTTTAATACAACCCAGGGGGTCAACTGCTAGGATGAACCTCCCTACGGGGCTCATTAAAGTTAATCCGTTTTTTCTAAGGCTGCTACGTTTGTCTTTTCCAGCTTCTTTTAAAAGCTTCATCCTGGCATCAGAAGAAAAACTCTGCTGATAAGTGGAAAAAAACTGAGATCTCTCTTTGCTTCACAGTGCTGCCAGACTGGTTGTGGTGCTGCTTGTCTGACTGTGAACTTCGCTAATAGCAGAACAGGCCACTCTCGTACAGTGTAATGTTCAGCTGTCAGCGCTCCTGTGTCAGTGGGTCCAGCATTAAAAGTGATACTGAAGCCACATCACCCTAGGCTAATCATCTTGAAGTGGAACGGTAAACGTACTGCTGCTGTGATTCCACATTTGCTTGGAATCGGCGCTGTGTTACTTTGTTAACACGGTCAAAGTGCTGATAGTTTTTCACGGAGAGCCTGTGGTCTGAGGCCGTGTTTAGCATACAGACAATGCTGCCATACAAGGCTCGGTGAATGCTGGTAAAAGCAGCTTTCTGTGACAGGGGTGTGCCAAAATGGAGTCCCTATTCTAGCTTTGAGGGCCAAAAATCAACATGAAGAAGGGGGTCGTTGTTGTTGTTCTTTTGATATACACTACTGTGCAAAAGCCTTGAAGCACCCCTCATTTCTTTTGTTTTAGAGTGGTCTTAACATTAGGTCTCCAGGCTTTCTGGGTTTTTCTTTGCACATCCTTTTCACTCATTTTCAGTCTAGTTCTTGTTCATGGAAATTTTCAGGGGATTTTTATTTTTGGAGCCACTTAATGCTGACTTATGAATCATCCAAGTATTAAAAAACCACCCAAAACAAGGGACGCACTACTGTTGTCTGCACATGACAGAAAACTTGATTTGTATCTTTAGGCGCTTTGTTACTAGCAGCCTTCTGGGGAAAAAAAATCCCAAAGATAACGGTTTGACTGAGACAGAATATTATTTTTGCACCAACAAAGTGATTCCTAAACAATAATTAGCTGCACGCTTAGCATATCTCTACAAGGTGTACTGTTTATTCTTAAGTATGTGGAGGAAGCTGGACTAGTGCAGGACAAAAGAAGGCCTAAAAATCTGTCTACGGCAAATAAACTGTAAGTAAGATGGGAGAAAAGACTGAGGTATGCATAATGACACAAGAACTGGACTTCCATCTGATCAAACACACATCCACACATGTGCAATAACACTAAGTGCAATACTCTTTTTCTGACAAAGTTGTATTTTTACTCAGTTGTATAAAGCATTTGTATTTTATTTTTATCCTATTGTATATTTTATTCTACTGTATATATTATTTTATTATTCTATTCTGTACAGTTATGTACACTATTTTATTCTTATTGTATTCTAATTTTTGCTATATAACATTTGCACTGTCCACTTCCTGCTGTGACAAAACAAATTTCCCACGTGTGGGACTAATAAAGCTTATCTTATCTTAAAAACAGTAACAACAGGTCTTGCATAATAATTGATCGAAATTTGAAGTTTCAACATGTGTCGATTGTGTAGAGTTACAATAATGACTGTTTGCAGCCGTCTGTAAAACACACTGGATGCTCTGTCGTGGTTTGGGGCTGCATTACAGTCATTGGTGTTGAGGATCTTGTTGAACTTGATGGATCTAAGAGGGCAGATTCTGGTGATCCATGCCATACTATTGGGTAAGCATCCGATTGTCAATGGTTTATTTATGGATTGACCTCCCTAGAGCAAGGACCTGAACATTATTGTAGCAGTGTTCGGTCATCTTTACAGAGAACAGAAGAAATGCAGCCAACATCCAAAGAAGAGCTTTGAATGTTCTTCGAGAAGCCTTGAAGGACTATTGAAGAACTTGAGACTACTCATTTCCCATTTTCCTACATATAATTTAACTTAGTTTTCCATGGATATTTAATTCTGTTATTCCCTTGTTTTGGGTCAGGGAAACTTTAATAATAATCCTACTGCATCACCAGTTTATTTTGTTAACCTTTGGTCGTGTTGACTTCAAAGTTTCAGGCAGCCACCTTCTTCTTCGTTTTAAATTTCTATCTGAGTTTAGGGCTTTGTGATAGCCACTAACAAAGTACAGGTTCCTTATTTAATTCTTCATATTTGAAATTAAAACATTCAATTACAAATGCTTGCTGTCTTTAAAATCTATTGTTCAACGATTGTACTATACGCCCCTGGGTGTGCGAGGTCCACAGAGGATTAAAGCAAATGGATAATAAAAAAAAAAGTCTTTAGCTTGAGACTTTATCACAAACCTTTAACTTCTTATTTCTAATAATTTCTTCTCCGACAATTCACGTCTTACATGTGGACATGAAAGGTTTTGTAACCCCCCATAGCTGTTGATGCTGACAAAACTAATGTTTAAGAAAAGATAAGATCAGACTTTATTGATTCCACGGCGGGGAAATTTTAATTTGAAGTATCTTATAAATATTTATCAGAATTTTATATTTCAACCACATTAAAAACCTTTTTCCGCTCAAATTAAATTTCTCCCCAAGTCCCACAACAAGCCGCCCACAGCTTGATGGCACCTCCACCATGCTGGGTTGGTGTTCCTATACTTGCAAACTCTTTTCTTCTCCAACCAATATGATCGCCATTACGGCCAAACAGTCAAAGTAGTTTCATCAGACAAGAGCAATAGAAAATTGTAAGATCTTTGTTTGCATGTAAGGACTGGTTTCATTCTGAACACTTGACTTCTGCAGAATCTTGTTAAGATGCTTTTAAAAATTGTTCTCAGAGGCAGATTCGCCTCCTTTCTGAGTACTGTAATGGCTGCAGATTTCTACTTTTATGCTGTTGTTTGCTCACCT